CCATGGCGCACCGGAAAAGCCACATGACTGCCGCCCACCCCAGCACCAGGGAATTTGCGCCCTCAGCACTGGTGAGGGAGGGAGCAGGCTGGGTGGCTGAGCAGGGAGGGGTTACGGGATGCAGAGTGATATGATGGAAAAACTTTTTTTATGTTTATACTAAGGTCCAATGCCCCCTGTTCACTGCACTTGCCAGTCCCCATGTCTGTGCGGATAGGCAGCCCCGACCTCTTGCCCCCTACCAGTCTCCGGGGAGGGCCGCGGCCATGCTAGCCCCAGCCTCTCAGCCCCCAACTCTCTAGCCACTGGGCCCATGCCAGTCTCTGGAGGTAGGTAAGCCCGGCTCTCGCCCCGGCCGCTGGGGAGAGCCTGGGTCATGCCAGACCTGGCCTCTCAACCCCACAGCCACCAGGGAGGGGAGGGCCAGAGGCCGTGCCAGACCCAGCCGCTGGGGAGGGGAAACAGTAGGCAAGGCCAGCTGTCCTTCCAGCAGCTGGGGAGGGCTGGGGCTGCACCAAACCTGGCTGCTCCCACCTCTCTTCCCAGCCACCCAGGCTTTTCTGCTCCCGCGCTGGGTCCCCCATCTCCCTTCCCTGTCATAGACAGTCCCAGCCTCCCAGGCCCCACATCCTGCTCCCCGATCACAGCCAGCCCCAGCTTACCTGCCCCTCCACCCCCCTCCCCAATTGTAGCTCTGGCCCCTCAGTCCCCCATCTCCTCTCCTCAGTCTCAGCCCTGACCTCTTGCACCCCCCCACATTCCCTTCTGCCTGCAGCCAGCCCGAGCCTTCCTCCCTGGCCTCTTGGACCCCCTCCCCAGTCACAGTGAGCCCCAGCCTCCCCGCCTCACTCTGGGAAAGTGCAAACTGGACCCGGCACAGAGTCTCAGGGCTTTCTCCCCTCCAGCCTCCTCTGCAGGAAGCTAGCACTGGTGCGCTAATCTTGCAGGGGAAGGAGGTGGCGTTGAAACTGGAGTGCTGGGCAGGTAGCAGTCCAAGTACTCCTGGCCCTGGCCCACAGAAGGAGAGGTTCCGCGCTGGGTCTCGGAGCATCGGAGCTCCGAGCACAGTGAGGAGCTGCTGTCACTACCCCCGATCCTCTTGCAGTGAGGCAGAATCTGCCCAGGCCATGCTGCCAGGCAGCTTTGCTGGTCCCCGAACAGTGTCTGGGGCAGGGAGACTGTGCAAGGGCAGAGCCTGTGGGATGCCAGAATGATGTGATGATGTCACTCTGGCATCACAGAGGAAAAACTTTTATATATAGATATAGATAAGATAATTTCTTAATAATGTAAATCACCACTGATCATTATAGTGGTCTCATGTTCACATGGAATATTATATGGCATATTTCTAAGCATAGTGATATGCTCCTGTCCCATTCCTGGAGCACTGCCGAAAGGCTTCAGTTTTGTTCCAGAAGAATAGGAACAAAGAAAATGTAGCCTAATGAGTTCTTTTCTGTCTATGAGACAAATCTAACTAAAGCTGAAGGCAGACTTTGCCAAAGCTGTCTGTTTCATGGCAGTGTATCCAATGTGTATTGTACATGATAACACATGTGCAAGCTAAACACATTATAGTGCACTTAGCAGTCCATGGAAGACTTAACAGAAGAAGCTCTGCTTTTAGAAGAACAATTGATTATGGATGAGCGTGCAACTTGGAAGAGCTATTAGAGTGTATAATTTTTAAACTCACAGGTGATCCACAGCTGGATGCACATGATGGCATTAAATAGGGAGCTTTATTCAGTGGTGAAGTCGGGCTTCCTCTTACCACCAGTGGTTCCTAATGTCTATAGGACAGCTGGTCATTAAATATTACAAACAAATCCAAGTCTTGTGATAGAAATGTAGCCGTGTTAGTCTGGGGTAGCTGAAGCAAAATGCAGGACAATGTAGCACTTTAAAGACTAACAAGATGGTTTATTAGATGATGAGCTTTCGTGGGCCAGACCCACTTCCTCAGATCAAATAGTGGAAGAAAATAGTCACAACCATATATACCAAAGGATACAATTAAAAAAATGAACACATATGAAAAGGACAAATCCCATTGCAGAACAGGAGGGGGATGCGGGGGGGGGAAGGTTACCTTCCTTCCTTCCCTCCCCCCCTGCATCCCCCTCCTGTTCTGCAATGGGATTTGTCCTTTTCATATGTGTTCATTTTTTTAATTGTATCCTTTGGTATATATGGTTGTGACTATTTTCTTCCACTATTTGATCTGAGGAAGTGGGTCTGGCCCACGAAAGCTCATCATCTAATAAACCATCTTGTTAGTCTTTAAAGTGCTACATTGTCCTGCATTTTGCTTCAAATCCAAGTCTTGGCATCCACACTGCATATTGACCCTAGGTTTAGAATTTCTTGACCTGGGCTACAAATCTGGGGCAATACTCAATCAGGCAATACTCATACCTGAATGAAACCACCATTTCTCAGGCATCCTGGTGCCCTCCCCACCTGTGGCCACTCCAGCCTCTGGTTAGTGGTGGAGTGTGGGAATACTTCACTATCCATCCCCATGTTATAGGAAGTTGTCACAGCATGCTAAGTTCACAATAGATCCTGTTTCAGCAAACAGACAAGGCATTCGGGAGATACTGGTGGACGGCTGGTGATGCCTGCAACTCTGCTATAGCTGGTGATTCCCACCCATGTAGACCAGAGGTTCTAGAGCACAGGCCTAAGTACAGATTGGTGGGATCACAATGTCTTGTGGTCATGGATGACCAGCAGTGGGTCCAGAACTTTTGCATGAAGATAGCTACATTTCTGGAGCTTTGTGAGCAGCTTGCCTCTGAGCTCCAATGTAAAGATATGCACGAGGGCAGCCATACTGGTCCAGAAGTGGGGTGTTATCATCATTTGGAATTAGATTACTCCTGACTGCTTCAAGTCTGCTACTAGCCAGTTCAGCATTCAAAAGTCAAGCATACATGAAGTGGAGACAGAGATTTCAGAGTCAATCAGGCATGTGATGTACCCAAAGGCAATGGGCATAAACAAATATCCTTGAAGTAATTACTAGTTTTGAGAGGATGGGGTTTCAAGACTGCCAGGGCTATTATTGGGCCTCATGTGCCCACAGTTTGAGCCCCTCAAGGAGTACATGAGTGCATAAACTGCAAAGGGTACTACTCCATTGTTAGCCAAGCCCTTGTGAACCACGGAAGCTGATTTATGGATGTCATTGTGGACTGCACTGGAAAAGTTCATGATGCCAGGGTTTTCCGAGGATCAGGAGTTCACGTTCATGGACAGGGTGTGGCATTTTTTCCCACCAAATGACATTGTTGTAAATGGAGTTACTATCCTCACTGTTATTATAGAGTACCCAGTCTACCCCCTTTTTCTTTCACTTATGAAATCATACCCTGATAAGAGTCCCTGACAAAAGAAGGTTCAGTTACACTCTGAGTATCTGTGGAATGGTGGTTGAATGCTCATTTAGAAGATCCAGCAACATTGCGCTTCCAGTGCTTACTGGGCTCTTAGAACACACTTAGGATACATCTACACAGCAGGGCTAAAGTCAAATTAAGTTACACAACTTCAGCTACATCAATTGCATAGCTTAAGTCAAAATAGCTTAATTTGGCTTTTGGCACTGTCTACACAGCAGGAAGTCAAAGAACTAACCTTCTGTGGTTAGATATTAGTCAGGTCCCAAGGGTGCTGAACTAGAGAGGTTCAACCTGTAATAACAAACATGGATCCAGAAACTTATTCTCAGGGGGTACTTTTGCCTCTTCTGTTTCTGATGCCAGTTCCATTATGGGCAGCTCTTCCAGAGAGTCATCAAAAACTTCCTTGAAGTAGGGTCCCAGAATGTGCTGCAGCTACTCTGTCAGCAGAAACTTCTCAGGGATTGGTTTGGGTACAAGAATCAAGCCTCACCCAGCACTGTCTGACTCCCTCCTGATTGACCAGGCTACCTTGAAGCACTGGTAGCTCAGTGCTCAGCACAGTACCAGCTCAAATGACAGGATGACAGAGAGTTCCCAGAGATCTAGTTCTCATTCCTAACTTTCTGGAAATTGGTCTTGAATTATTTAATCTGCTCACTGCATTGGTCCGGTAGATTCCCAGCACTGTCAGCTTCTTCACTATTAGGTGGTATGCATGCTCGTTCCTAGAATTCTTGCTAAAGTTGAATGATGTGCTCTCCTGGCAGTAGCAATTAAGCAAAATGTGTCTGTGCTCCCATGATGCTTGCAAAGGACTTCTCCATGGCAGTGACTATTACAAATGCAGGAGACAGGTCACTCTACTTGCAGCTCAGAGATCAGAATAAAATGGAAGTGTTAAAAGCTGAGCTGTTGCATTTGAACCAGAAGGGTTACTTCTGTTTCCTACAAGTACATTGGCCAGTCTTGGGGTAGGAAAAACAAAAGACACTGTCCTGTGGAGTTATGAGATAGTGTTGGTGGAGTCTCAGGTCCCAAATCTGTAGCAGGCATCCATAGTGCAAAACAATGGAGTTTGGGCCCAAGCTTCTGTGGGACTCAGGCTTGAACCCTCCATTCCTGTGGGATGTTAGGGTTTGGGCCCAAGTTAGACAGAATTGTGTGATGATGAAAGGGAATTTGGACTGAGCCCAGGCAGTGTATACATGCCCCTAGAAAGGGGAAGACATAAGGATGGATATTTATACTTCTCCATACATACTCTAACCGGAAGAGATGGCCAGCCACTGAAAGGACTGTATGCTATTCCCTACTCAGGGCTGGTGAAATGATGTGCTACATGCATGCTGAAAATCTCTGGGAGTCTCTGTATGACCTTGAGTCACCATACCTCCCCGTGTTCCTTCTGCTGTGGAGACATATTTCTGCCAACCTCCTACCAAGTGCAGTGTCTAAAAGACACAGTTTGGCAAGTTGTGGCTTTTTTCAAATATGAATATGATTTCAAAAATGTAATGAACTGATAGAACCTGCTTTTGGTGTTCTAGTGTCTTATTAGCAGACTGAACTTCATGTACTTTCCTGTAGATGCCACACTTCAAAAGGATGTTCAAGAAGGAACTCTGCATCCTGTCCACACTCAAGAACCACTTCAAGGTCAAGAAAGCATTTTAAGACCCATTCACCCTCCTCTGATCATAAACATCAGCCTGGAGGAGGATGAGGAAGAGGAAGAAGAGGAGAATGGTAAATATGACTTCCCTGAAATCTGAAACTAAAATGGGCTAAAATGGACTGGTTTGGCTGTTTTCAACAATCTTGCCATTTTTGAGGAAAGGGGTTAAATATTTGGAAATAACTTTATTGAAGATAGTTTTATCATTAACCACATAGTAAATGTAGACTCTCGTTAATAAACTTTAAAAATATTGAATATGTCTTTTTCATACTGATATAATTCCAGTACTCTTTTTTCGTTAATTAGAAATGGTTCCAAGTGCCATAATTCACATGGCATTGAAATACAACAATTTAGATGGAGAGCCAAACTTTCTCAAAGTTCAGGGATGTTCACACTTATTTGGCTCCATCTGTACTATAAATGACCATTTTACTAATTGAGCATGTCTGATTTAGAGGAGACATTGGTGCCTATAACTAAAACTATATTGGTCATGAAAATATCTGTTGATAAGCAAGAGTTTTTCTGTCCAGAAAGAGGTGGGCTCGGATGAACTAGCATTAGAAAAGGGGAAAAAATCCTTCCTTTTGCAATGAAATTTTTTATATTTTGCAATAATGCATTGACAAATCCTGATGTGTCTGTACTCAGGTATAGTTCTCTCTTTTAAAAATATTTCCTGTAGATGCCTCTCATTTATTGACAAAGACTCAAGCAGACATTGAGGAAGAAAAAGCAATAAAGGAGATGTGCTATAAATCTGGTAAATAGCTCATTTTTTATCATTTTAAAATATTAACATAACTAGTAGTTATGTTAATATTTTACATGATCAATGTAAGTAAAGACTTTTTTTCTTTCTTTGGGGGGGGTATGAGTAGGCGAATATTACAGAATTCAGACACCTCAGGAGAACCAGTCTGCAAAAACCATGTCATCAGCACTAGATAATGAGCTATTGAAACCCATGGAAACTGGCAGAGACTTACAGGAAGGCAGGTACTTAAGTGGTAAGGTAACTCTTTTCATTTTAAGGATAATGTTTATATACACTTAATTAAATAGACGTTATCAGGTAGTTTAGATCCCAGTATTAGGTTTTCAAATTTAGAAGAAAATACAGAAAATAAAATTAATAGAAATTAAGTAATAGAAGTATGACTTTTAAAAATTAAATGGAAACAGCATAGATATGGTAGGACGCTTGCATTGACTACAGCATGTTGAAATGAGGCAAGGTCAATGAAGTAGAACCAAGGTTAACATCATGAACTTTTTACATTCCATGTCATGCATCTCTGCTATAATTTTTCTCCAAGTATCTTTTAAAATAAGGTTACAATCTCTTTTGCTTATTAGGCCTGTTACAATACAACTGAGCTCAAAGGGACATACATTAATGAACATTTGTCCCACTCAATATTTTTAAAAAGTTTTCTTTTTCATCATTAGCCAAGAGGTATTTCTCCAAAAATTAATCTCAGCTTTTGTTATTATAATAGGTGATAGTATTGCTGCTTCATAACAGAGTGATTTATGCTCTGAACGTTCTAGGACGTTAGTGTAATTAGTGTGTTGGCCATTAAAGTGTTCAAGAAAGAAGTGAGATATTATTATCAGTAGCACATTTATTATTGTCATAAAGTTGTTTACAACAAAATAGAAACCTTCATGGATAATCATCTGGACCCACAATTACATATAAGGAAAACTGAAGCAGGAAGACAGTGAACAACAATGCAGAACTGCAAAGTGAAAGAGTATATAATTTTGGTTCAGATGGAGATATTCTGAGGTAATATTGGCTAGTAAAAGGGAGATTGTTTTTGGATCTCTGGTTTTTACCAATTTAACCAGAAAGAGAAAAATAGTTTCTCTGCACAATGTCCTGTGAATTCTGTCTGGCGAGTAGAGCTATTTTTGTTAAAGTACTTATGAGGAGGTATTTCTAATGTGTGTTCAAGGGCTTAGATATCACAATGATAGATATATCATAGATGATATTCATAAACATCAATCATATGAACTGAGTAGCTGTAATATTAATCTCTTAGCTGTTCTCTGGTATAGCCTGCGTGTAGTGGCACTTCATAGGAATCACAAGGATGCTTCCTTTAGGTCTGAATTTTTCCCATGTCTTGTGATGAATAAAAATGTGCTGATGATCAGTCATTGTTTACAGATAGAAATAATAAAATTAATTATGCTGAAATGAAGTGGCTTATCATATATATGTTTGATATACATGCAATAAACACGGGTTGTTCACCAAAACAATTAAAAAGTTTTAGTACATTGTATTTTTGGAATAGTCAGAGATAAAGATTTACCCTCAGCTTTATACTCTAAGACTGTGTCTACATTGGTGTCATCTTGCACAAAAACAGCCGCTTTTGCGCAAAAACTTGCTGCCTGTCTACACTGGCTGGGGGGTCTTGTGATGTATGAAATCAGTGCTTCTTGCGCAAGAACTATGATGCTCCCACTCAGGAATAAGCTCTTTTGCGCAACTGTTCTTGCACAAGAGGCCAGTGTAGACAGGTAACATGAATTTCTTGCGCAAGAAAGCCCTATGGTTAAAATGGCCATCAGAACTTCCTTACGCAAGAGAATGTCTACACTGGCATGGATGCTCTTGCGCAAAAGCACATCTCTTGCGCAAAAGAACATGCCAGTGTAGATGCTTTCTTCTGGAAGAGTTTTTGCGGAAGAGTTCTTCTGCAAAAGAGTTCCGCAAAAGAATTCTTGCGCAAAATCATGCCAGTGTAGACATAGCCTCTGATTTAATTCTGTGAATCCTTTAAGCATTCATGCACGTTTTCCTAATAATTCAAAAATGCTCACTAATATGTTTATCCATAAAATCAATGTGTAAAGTTGTCCATGTTGCATAGTGCTATCCATAACTTCCTTTACTCTCCCAAGGTCATTTATCTATCATGGATACCTTGACTCCACACAACTAAGCCAAAAAATTTCTTCTGATGCATTTCTAGGTGATGGTGTTAAAGTTCCAACAAAATTTAATATTATAGAAAGACAAGGAGAGGTAACAGCATCATTAGATGGTAAAACTAGGACTGATCTTGGTGCCATTGAAAATGGAGGTAATTACTTTAAAATATGTGTTCTCATAATCTAATATCTCGTTGTAGATAAAATAATTTCTAAATACAGGTTGGATCTCCCAGAACTGGGACTCTCTGGTCTGGCAATATCTGTCGTCCAGCAGGACCACGGATGTTCCTGGATCAGGGAGTCCTAGCTGGCAGCGTCAGTGGCAAGAGGGCTGGCAGCTTGGAGCCCAGCAGTGCTGGGACCAGGGCCGGAGCCTCAGTAGTGCAGCTGAGGCTGCAGTAGCCTCAGCAGTGGGTGCGGCTAGGGCTGGCAGCACTGGGAGGCAGTGGACTGGGAGGCTGGCAGTAAGGCACCTCCCTTGGTCTGAAAGAGTCCCTTGTTCGGAACCGGTCAGGTACTAAGGGTGCCAGATCAGAGAGGTCCAACCTCTATATCAATTATATATCAATTTACACAAGCATAAAAGTCAGATATAACTGGAATACACAAAACTTTCAGAATTTTGAGAGAGAAGCCAAAAAACTCCATGTTTTTGGCAGTCATATGGAAAAGCATTAAGGCTCCAATTTTGCAAGCTGTTCCATGTGGGCAGATCCTTGTGTCCACTTTCCGTGGGGCTCTGTGCAGGTCTGTTAGGGAATCTCAGTACAGGATCAGGATTTCAGTCATTAAGGATGAACCTGAATCCTGTAACCTTTATATTTATCTTGCATTGGCTGTCTCCTTTTCTTTTGAAACCTTATCCTCTGCAGTTTAATAATTTTCTATGTGGTATTGTTTCAAATGCTTTACTGATATGCAGAAATAGTACTTTTACTACATTTTTCATGCCAAAAAAATCAATTATCATATCAAAAAGATATCAGACATAAGTAACAGAAGAAATAATAGGATTTTTGGTAATACTTTATAAAGTTATAATTTTCCTATATGTATTATAAACAATGTACATATTGGTTTTGTATTTGGTTACTCAAGAGTTAATTCAGAGTGAATAATTAATTATGGAAATGTACATTTAGACTGAGAGATATAAACTAAAATAATATTAAATATATTTCTTATATATATTTTATATACAATTTTAACATATCTTCTTTCTATTTGGTTTTCATTTTTAAGTTCTTATTATTTATATGAATTTAATAAAAACAAATACAAATTAAATGCTAGAAAACAATGAAGTAAAAAGGTTGCATTCTTCATTTTAAACTCAGTAAAACCAATTTTATCTTAAAAAGAGGGTACATCATTTCTCTGTTTATAATTTGGTGATGCATTATCATTTTTTTTCAGGAGGTGATTGTTATGTACCACAAAGGAGCATATTTGTTGGAGAGAAACATTGTGAAACATTAACTGGAGAAAAAGAATTAATTACAACCAGACGTGCAGATGTGAAACGTATGAATCATTATTTTTATATTTTGTAATTTTCATGTTTTGCTTCTTTTGTAATTAGATTGGACACTTGAGGTAGGACCTAAATGAGTTCTGATATATTCCTCACACTATGAATGAATTGAAGTCCCATCAGCAATATGGTTTCTTTCATCATACTAAATGATGAAAGCACTTTTATTGGCTTAGGGCAGTCTTCCTCCAAGTGACATCAATATGACCGCTATCAGATTGCTAAATACCTTTATCTTCCTAATGACAAAAGGCCTAATCCTGAGAGATGACGCACTCAATCTCAGTGGAAGGCAATGAGAATTGACGGTGCATAGCGTCTCACAGAATTGGGCCCCTAATGAATACGTGGATATCTGATTCAGCTTAGCATTTGAGCATGTTGGGAATAAGTCTGGATACTGTATGCGGTGAAAACAAGGAAGAGGATTTATTACACACAGCATTGGTAGAGTGTCCCTCAGCTCATTAAGCTGGCAAACACTGCTTAAGCAAAACATTACAATAGATTATATAGGGGCCTGATGCATGGAGGGGAAGCAATTCAATAGGTTCTAGCAGCAAAACGAAATGAGCACATAAGCCAATAAACTAAGAAAGATTACATAGCATCTTTGCCCATCGCCAAACACACACCTTATCTCTAATACAAATAGTTTTCCTTACAAACACCTTATCTCTAATACAAATAGTTTTCCTTAAAAAGCTAAATAAGCCAACATCAACAGTTATGCGTAAATCATTTCTTGCTTATTATTTTTCCGTTGTGGAAGTAAAAGATAGGAAGACAAATTCTAGTTATGAATCACAGGTAGGTTAACAAGTAATGAAACTGCCTACATACATTGAAATGGAAGAAAAAGACTTTTAGCTATACTTTAGCCTGAACTGATAGGAGCAAAAAGTAGTGTTTCTGCTGGTCAGCTGGAGGTGAAAATAGACAAATCTCTGGCTTCCTGTACTGGAGTCATAGTCTGTTTTGGTCAGTTTCATGCCCAGAGGATTTTAAAAATAATAAATTTCATTATTTCAGCTATTTAAATCGGAAATGTCATGATGTCATAATTTTTGGGTTCCTGTCCCAAAAATGAGTTGTGGGGGTTATTTTATGGGGGTTGCAGTGCTGCTGTCTTTATTTCTGTGCTGCTGATGGTGGCAGCTCTGCCTTCGGAGTTGGGTAGCTGGAGAATAGTGGCTGCTGGCTGGGAGCCCAGCTCTGAAGGCAGAGCTGCCGCCAGCAGCAGTGCAGAGGTAAGAGTGGTATTGTATGATACGGTCTCTATTACTTCTGCACTGCTGGGAGGACTCTGCCTTCAGAGCTAGGTGCCTGGCCAATATCTGCTTTCACTGGCTGCCCAGTCTGAAAGCAGTGCAGAAGTAAGGGTGGCAATATCTACCCCCTAAAATAACCTCATGACAACTCCTGATTTTAGAAACACTGGTCTCCTACATGATATCTATTTAGCATAGGGTAAAAGCATACAAAAGACCAGATTTCATTGTGTGTGATGTGTTTTTCATGTCTTTGAATTTGGTAAGGCTCTAAACATAGGGTAAAAGAGCTTGATAGTTGCCATGCAATGAAGGATGTGAGATTATGTCTTATTCAATCTCCTTACTCTTGGGCCTGGTCTACATTACATGGGAAGGTCAAAGTAAGATATGCAATTCCAGCTATGTAAATTATGCAGCTGGAGTCAAACATATCTTAAAACCTGGTCCACATAGCAGCAGGTCGACAGGAGCAAACACTCCTGTTGGTGTCCCTTACTGCTCCCGAGGAGTTGGAGGAATACTGGCGCCAATGGAAGTGCCCTTTGAGTTCAATCTAGCAGGTTTATATTACATCTGCTAATCGAACTCTGGAAGATTGACTGCAGTAGTATTGATCTTCCATATATACTGCACACATGCTCTTGGTGTAAAGCATAGAGAGAGACCTTTTTTTCATATGTTTGCCATAATAAACACCAGTGTCTCAGAGGCTACATCTAAACTGCATCCCTCTGTTGACAGAGGGATGCAGATCAAGCACATCGAAATTGCTAATGAAGCAGGGATTTAAATATCCCACACCTCATTAGCGTAAAAATGGCCACCGCTTTTTTTCGAAACAGAATTTTTTCAAAAAAACTTGTCAGTATAGACACGGATCTGTTGAAAATAAAGCCTTTTTGACAGTTCCTGTATTCCTCAAAAAATGAGGTTTACAAGATCTGTCGAAAAAGGCTTTATTTTTGACAGATCTGCAGCTAGACTGCTGGGTTTTATTTTGAAAAAATGCCTTTTAAAAAAAAGGTGGCAGCCATGTTTATGCTAATGAGGTATGGGATATGTAAATCCCTGCTTCATTAGAAATTTCAATGTGCCTAATCTACATCTCTCTGTCAGCAGAGAGGAGTAATCTAGACACACCCATATAGACCAGCTGACTGATAAGGCAAAGGACATATGAGGGTCAATTATATATTACGTAATAGTTTATTCCATCTCATAGTACATAGTTGGTGTGGTTTGGTTTGAGTCAACATGCATAAAATTCTGCTGTGGGTATAAAACATTCAGAGCGCATCTACATAGCAGCATCATTTCGGAATAACGAATGTTATTCCGAAATAACAATGCGAGCATCTATACAGCAATTCCATTTTTTCTAAATAAATTCAAAATAATGGGTGGCTTATTCTAACTTCTGTAAAGCTCATTCCACGAGGAATAACACCTATTCCGAAATAGCTATTTTGGAATAGCAGTAGTGTGTACTCTTCACTGCTGTTAATTTGAAATAGCTTTTCCCCAGGGCCATTCAAAGTAATTACTCCCCAGTGCCTCCTGGGGCTCTAAACTGAGGTAGCATGCCCATATTAGGGAGCTGCCTCGAACTAATTTTGAGGCTTTCGTGTAGTGTAGACGTGTTATTTCAAAATAAGCTATTTCTGAGTATTTCTTCGAGAATAGTTTATTTCAAAATAACCGTGCAGTGTAGACGTACCCTCACTTTTGTACTGGAGTTGCTGCTTGTGTAGTCTGCTGAAACAAGCTTACATAAATTCGATGGTTTATAATTGAGAACATACGTGTAGAATAGAGCTGATACCCTTAAAATATATGTTATATTTGCTCAGATTTTTTTGGCTTTTATGTAGACTTTTTTACCTAGAAGTTGGCCAAAAATATCTCTTACGTACTCCAGTAACACCTACTTTCCTAAAATGAGTTTGAGGTTTGTTGCCAAAACTTTCAGAACTTTTTTCTAACAGAATCAAGATAACATTTTGGCACCATTATGTCTTCACCCTTAGGGATGAAATTTATTGATACTCTTGCTGTAATTACTGTTTTCAGAATCAGTTGTTTAGCACATAAAAGAATGGTCTTTATTGAACAGAGTGTATGTATAATGTGAAGAATTTATTCTTGTTTTAATTCACCACAACCCTCTACTACTTTAATGAAGGGATTTTACTGAATAGTGTGTTTTTTCAAAAAAAATTAATTTGTGTAATTTTTTTCCCTTAGCAATGAGTCACACTGAGCAAGTAAAGAAGCGTCACTTTAAAGGAGTGAAGAAAAAGAAATGCATTTCTGAAGAACCAAAAAATTCATATAGCATGTTTGCAGGCAAAGGTATATTGAGAAATTGCCTGACTATTTTGTTTTAAGTTACTAACTCCCTGTGCCTAGAAGGTGAGCCCCTACCTAGACATCAAAGCCCTATTTACAGCCCGAGCTGCAACTTCAAAGCACTGTTTCCACAGCTATTTGTAGAATGCTAATGCAACTCCCACTAACCCAGATGTATCAACATGGAGTTGGGAGGCTCCCTCCCAAACATTGTATAGAGATACTCTGTGTGTCCTTCTCTCTGACATAGTTTGTGAAACACTGAATAGCATCTGGCAGGTTAGCATAATACTGTATTGTATTTCCCCCTTGCAGCAATGAATGCTTCCAACCCAAAAGGTAAATCAAATTGCCAACACAATGATCAAAGCAAGGATGCTGAGAATACTTCTTACGTTCCATCTCCAAGAACCACTGAGAGAAACACTTCCTTGAATTCTCTAGAACCTGGAAAATCGAGAAACATGACCTACAGTAATGTTAATGTTACCAAAGAACCCAAGATGAATTTGTCTGCAGGTGAGCTCCTGGTTACACAGGATTCCTTGCCTAGAAGAAGATTGCCAACAGAATTGGTCAAAGACTTCAGTTATGCCAATGCAACTCCACCACATTAGTATAATAATCTAGAGAAATTCAGACTGGAAATACAAGATTCATTTTTAACAGTAAAAGTAAATAACTACTGTAACAATTTAACTACTGCCTCATGGGGGCTTCTCCATCACTGAGAAACAGTGAAAGTAGTTAAACATTGGAATAGTTTACCCAGGGTTGCAGTGAATTCTTTATCATGTACAATTTTAAGATTGGATATTTTTCTAAAAGATTTGTTCTAGGAATTGTTTTGAGGAAGTTCTATAGCCTGTGTCACAAGGGAGCTCAGACTATATGATCACAATGGTCCATTCTGCCTTGGAGTCTGTGAAAAACCAAGAGCAGACTCTGACCCAATATAATTGTCATAAGCGTATCTCATTGCAATATTTACAGGTAAAAATGAAAAAAAACCATGAACTTCTGTGGAGGTTGCCAATTAAAGTGAGAGAGAATTCTCTTGAACAGTAGTTCTGCCATCTTTAGAGCATGGGGCACAAATCCAACTGCTCGTCCAGTCAGCTCTGCTGTCTGAAGGAAAGGGAAGAGTCTATGTTCTCACTCTCATCTTCACCATTTTCAGCAGAGAGGGTCCATTGGACCACTGGCAGTGAACTGCAGTCCCCTGTAGTAGTCCCCAAAAGAGTTTTTAACCAGTTCTTGAACAGGTGCACAGGAGAGAGAGAGGACCTGTCACCTTTGCGAACCCATGCAGAGATTGTTCAGAATCTAGTTTTGTCCAAGAATGGAGTACTTTGGTGTACTTTATTCTGGGATCAGTTTACTAAATGACTGTACAGTACCTTTCCTTTTCAGTTAGTGATGTGACCCAGAGACTTAAATCTGTCTCTTGAGAACTTTGTATGGGATCTTCTTGAAGTTTCTTAAGCATAGCATTGAATGTTTTGTTATAGTTTGATTAGATTTCTTCTTATCTCCTACATCTAGCAAGTGAAGAGATTTAAAATGAAGGCCTCTTAAGATGACATATGATAGAGTATACTGATGGAGTGGGATTTATTGGAATTCTTAGCTACGCACATGTTCTGTAGAATTTTACTTTGACCAGTAAGCTAAGGTCTGGGCAGCAAGTCATTTTATGCCATATTTTATTGGTTAGTTTCAGTGGTGTGCTCTCTGGCTTCATTCTGTTAATTCCTCAAAGATGTACATTTAGTCTCTGGTTTGGAAATTATGATTATGCCAGAGCATTTGTTTTCTTTTGTGGATGTCAACCCAGCTTTCCCTCATTCCTGCATCTCTTTCTATTCGTGAGAAGGAAATTTAAACAATTCAATAAGTAGGACAAAATGTGTTTAGTATAATTGGATGTCTGCTTTTATAATGTGCTTAATCTTTAGAAGTGTTTAAGAATCTTTATTTTATAACTCAGTGCTCCATCTTTAACTCTATTGCCTATACTGAATATTAATCCCAGACCCTATATAATTGAACAATTCAGTAATGAAAATCTCATTTCCCTCCCAACTAACATTTCTTATTCAGCCCTTTTTTCCTAAACAGAAAACTAAGGAACCATATTTGTACAAGAGTTTTTTTATCCCTGATTCACCAGTGTTTTGCTAGGGTTTTGTTATAATCCTATTTCTGTTGTACAAATGGGAGCTTGAAGCTTTCTGAAACTTACTGTGCTAGTTTTAAATCTATTGGGGATTTTCACAATGTACAGCAGGGCTACTCAACACGTGGCCTGTGGGCCACATGTGGCCCATGACCTATTTGTTTGCGGCCTGCGATGCAGTTTGGGTTTACATGGAGCTCAACATGCAGACTGTGGGTGGGATCCTTTGAAGATGGCCTCCACTGGGAACACGCTCCACAATGGTGAGGCATCTCCCAGGTGGGGTGAACATTGAAAGTCACAAGTGGATGGGCTGGCTGGAACAGACAGGTGTCAGCGTTTCTAGCCCCCAGAGAGGAGATGCCGGGAATGCCGGGGCATGATGGGAACCTGAGGCTGCTTAAACTTGTGGGCAGATCCTGAGGGATGCTGACTGGCTCACTTTGGCCACATTTGGATCTAATGCCGTGTCTAGGCAGCCCTGCCTCTGTCCCGCACAGAGTGACAGACTCTCACGTGGGATGTCAGCCCTGCTGGGAAACCAGGATGGGACTCCCGGGCACCTGTCCTTTTTGTCTCTTGTGTCTGGCCTGACTCACACAGCCCCCTTCCACCACAGGTTGGAATCTTCTCTTTTTATGGTAAAATCACTCCAAGAAATGCACAACCTGAAGCTTCAAACTAAACATCCAAAACACTGGTCTACAATTTTCTTTTTAATAAGAAGCATTAAAAATGGCAACATAGATGAGATGCTTGATGGACGAACATGGGGTTTTCAACCCTATTTGGGAGCTGGAATTTGCTTTCTCAGAGAAAAATGGAAAACCAATGTGTCATCTTTATAAAAAAAAAAACTATAGCTGCGTTAAAGAAAACAAACCTGCAACTCCACTATGAATCTTGTAACTCTGAGTTCAAAGACTTGTATCCACTTGACAGCAATTTAAGAAAAACTAAAATACATTCCTTACTGCCCGTCAGTGTGAAAGAATGTATGTGCATATATTTGCATGTATATGCAACCATGCTTAAGTTGTGGCCCTCAGCATGTGCTGTGAGTATCATTGTGGCCCCCCGGGCTTCCAAAGTTGAGTAGCCCTGATATACAGCTTGATTGGTTGTCACTTTCTGTTCCTGCAAATCTGATGACTGAATTAGCTTCTGTATGCAGTCCTTCCAGGATGGTACCAATGACATTTTCCTTCTGTTGTTCTTGCATCTTTGAAGTCATTGCTTTCCTGGCAGTGTCTAGTACTGGTTAACTACTTGAGAAGAAAGTTTCAGGTCAAATTCTGAGGTCTTATGTTTGTTTCTGGCATTTTGTTTTAGGGCATAGCTTTATGTTTATTCTATGGCCTTCTCTCTGACTTTGTCTACACTGCAACTTTCTGCAGCAGAAAATATGCTAACGATGGACTCATTAACATGAGTCGTGAGGTCATTAGCATATTTTCTGCCAATTCTTTTTGAGCAAGGGGTTTTTGCGCAAAAAGAAACTGTGTAGCCGCTTCCGTTAGGTGCAAAAAACCCCTTTTATGCAAGATCCTTATGCCTCTGGGAGAAGCCTTCAAGTGCCTGAAGTTATTGGATCCCATGGCAATCTGCACTTATGTGTGGTCTGGTGCATGCATCTCCATCACAGGTTCCTGCAGGTGGGGCTAACGCTGTTCTGTGTCTCCAACAGACATAGCCTGAACCATGTATTCAGGGTCCAGACCACATATTGTTGTCAGTGACATGGTGGTGAAATCCTGCATCGATGTTCAAGAGAGTCCCCTTCACAGCCCCATCTTTGTCAGTTATGCTGGTCTCGGGTGCCTTAGTTTTAGGTTGGGGAGCCTATCTGGGTGATCTCAATGCACAGGGTTGCTGGTCAAGTCACAGTTGCTCCCTACACATAAACATCAGAAAGCTCAGGGCTGTATACTTGGCCTGCCAAGCCCTCTTGCTTCACATAAAGGGCAGGGTGGTCCAGATCTTGGTGGACAATATAGTGGCTATGTTCTGTATCAAAAAGCATCATCAGCCTTTTTCCAAGAAGCCCCCAGGCTCTGGGACTTCTGTGTTCAGCACACCATTTATCACCACCAGCTGCACACCTTTGCAGCTAACAATGCTTTAGCACATTGCCTCAGCAGGACCTTCTCATCTCACCACAAATGGTTCCTCCATCCAGAAGAGGTCAGCATAATCTTTTCGAGGTGAGGGGCTCCCTAGGTGGATCTATTTACATCCAGGTAAAACAGGAAGTGACACATTTTCTAATTGATTCAAAAGATTGACAGAGGCTCCCTAATGGATACTTTTCTGCTCCAGTGGTTGGGGGCTCTCGTGTTTATTTTCCCTCCTATATTTTTAATCTAGAGCCTTCCTGAAAATCAGGCTGGACAGGCCAAAGGTGAGCCTCATAGCATCAGCTTGGCATCACTATCACTGGTTTGGAACACTACTGGACCTCTTCGTAGCTTCTCCGTTATAGCTATTGCTCTGATTGGACCTGTTATCCCAGAACCATGGCAGTTTTCTGCACTTGAATCTGGTGGTGCTTCATGCATAAGTGCCAGGATATATATTTATCTTTTTTCCAAAACTGCATAAGTCAGAGGAGAAGCACAGGTTGCATTCCTTAGATGTCAGGAGGATGCTCGCCTTCTGCATTGTAGAACCAAACCATTCTGCCAATTGACATGTTTGTCATGGTGGCCGAGAGGATAAAAAGTTTGTCCAGTGTCAGCTCAGAGAATTTCGTCTTGGATCACTGTGTGTCTTTGCTGCTGCTACTATCAGGCAAAGTTGCTCCCTGTGGTGATTGTAACTGCCCATTCAACCAGAGCATATACCTCTTCTATAGCTTATCTAGCTCAAGTGACCATCCAGGGTATTTTCAGTATCACCATCTGGTCATCCATCCAGATGTTTGTGTCCCATTACACACTTATACTCAGCATACCAGGATGAAGCTGGCGTCAGGAGAGCAGTGTTATAAGGTGTTCGACTGTGAATGCCATGCCCACCTCCAAGATACTGCTTGTGTGCAGGGCCGGCCCGAGCCCTTTCGGTGCCCTGTTGGAGTCAACAGGAAGCAGGAACTGACATGTGTGTAACCCTAAAGAGGGCACCTTATGGACACACCACCAAGACAAAAATCTCCAACAACTGTGCATGTGGGCATGCACACACCTATAATTGAATGGACATAAGAAACACACCTGTAAGAACAACAGTTATGGAAAGGTGGGTAACTATTTTTTTCCTAATCCTGATGTTAGCATATCTAGCCTCCAATCAACTTTAAACCCTCTCTGATTGGTCCATACTTATAGGTCAGGCATGACTGCTAAATCCAACTGTCAGTCAAAGCTGTTACACAAGTTTTGGCATTATGGCATGTTTACTATTATGGTATGGATACTTTCACCTGGTTTTGGACTGAGCATGCCTCACTGACCCTTTCTTGTAGTGTTGGAGTGACCTTTACCTGACGTCAGACCACACATGTCTACCTGCCAACATACTAGCCATAGGATGATCTTAAAATGTCATCTCATTCTTCTTGACTGTGTGCCAACACTTTACACGCTTTACACTTTACAATGGATCTAGGAAGGACAGTGCCTGGTCACTTGAAACAGAAAGCTCAAATACTAGACTGTCCGGTTCAAAACCAGGCACCTGGCAACTTTACACACCAAGCGTTTCCTAGTGAATATTAATGCAGCACTAGGGAAATGGTACTAATTTAACATGCATTTTGGAATTTTTAGTGCACGCCAGCAGGAACCACCCAGACAGGTTAGTACGCAACTTGCTGGTGCACATTGGAATTTACACACCAGCTGGTGTGAACTGAGGCACTGGATAGACATCCCTCAGTATCTGTTTTAAGTTTACATTATTTTATATTTTGGAGATGGCATGTGATGTGTCACTTGATATTGTAGCTAATATTTTTGTAACTTGAGTAACAGGATGAGAAGTAGCGCATTGTAATTGTAAGTGAAAATGTAAACCAAGAAATATATTTCCTTACAGACAAATGGACTGCAGCATCCTATAATTCACCAGCATGGAGAAAAAGAAGCCCCCACACAAAAACATACTCTAAATCTGAAAAAATCCATTCAGGTACCTACAGTATTACTTTCAGTGCCCTCTAATATATTAAAGATGATGTATCTGTTTTAATTTTTTCTGAAGTTATAATCTGGAAGTTTTTATCTGGGCATCTATCCCAAGATTGCTGGTTTCTAAGAGATGCTGAAAAATCTGAGATGCTGTCTGCCCTTTAGTTATCAGCTCCCAGTCAGCGCTCCCCATCAAACTGCATCTTTTTGCCCAGTATTTCATAGTTTCCCACTTTTGGCATGATGGGTGACTTCCCCTAAAGTCAGAAACTGCTATATTGTTGTTACTGTATAGAATAGCTATTGGCTTGCAGTGCTGGACAAAGTAGTATGGTTATGCAATCCACATTACTACAGTGTGGGTCTTTGTCCCCCTTTAGTGGTTTGTCCAAAGAAATCTTTAATGACACTGCAATGGCTGCAGGCTAGGGGACTAAGTTCCATTGTTGAAGCAGTAGAGATGCTGCATTAAATGCAGGATGTTCCACTCCACTCTAACAATCCATAGCAGATAGTCATCACAATTGGCACCCTTTCTCATCCTCCCTTTGCTTTCTAAGACTTCTGTTCACCAAGGTACTGAAGCACATGCCTATCTGAAAGAATGTAAATAGTCCTCTGAAGATATGGGTTGTACCCACGAAAGCTCATGATACCATCTACAGGTTTTGTTAGTCTTTATGGTGCTGCTTGACAATTCGTAGACTAACTTGGCTACCCCTCTGAAGCTGTTTACTTCAGTGGGACTACTTAGGCTTAAAGCTAAACATACGAGTACCTTGCTGAATTGAACTCTTAAGTCTGTACATTTTTACCACAGTGCCTATACCAATCCATAATCAGCAATACAGCTCTGGAGCTTGTGGAATCTCTTTGTTGTTCCCAGGGTCCCTAGGAAATTGCTAGGTGATTCAGCTTCCTCTTTGGCATACGGCCTTATGTGGGCCTCAAGATTGCTGGTTTCAGAGGATATCTTTTAAATAGTCTGCAGATACCCACAGGCATAGTGAAATGAATTGCTTTTAAATGCTGGAAATGATGTCCCTAAGTGAATCAATCTTTCCAGTGCATGGTGGGCTGACTGTAGTTACTAAATAAACTCTGCCCTTCAGGTTTTCCCATTTACAAAGCCACCCACATTTTCCCAAATGTTATTGCATGAATTTTATATGAGATGTGTATTTTTAATGCACGCATGCATACATGCATTTACACAGTCTTACAGAATTATTTGTGAAAACATTGGAGAAAAAATCTATGTGGCATTCTGAAAATGTGTTAGTAATATTGAATGAATTTTCTCTATTTATAGTAATAAACTGATATAAATGCTAAATGCTCAAACACTGAATAAGTCTTTAAAAGGACCTGAAGATTTATAACTGTAAATTATACAAAAATATTCTGTTTATTTTAACTCCAGATCCAAGAAGAAATGGAAGCAAGTAAAAAAGAGAAAGAAAGAGACTTTGAGAAAACAAAGAAGTGAAGCACAATCCATCATACAATTTACAATAAAAATGATAAAAATGCAAATTCAAGGAATGAGGTTATCACATGCTTCACACTGGAGATTCAAAGATGATAAAATGCAAATTCTAAAAATAAGATGCAGGACATGTACACTGTATGGTTTCAAAACTGATAAAAATGCAAATTTAAAAAACCCCTACATACTGTTTGTGTATTTATGAGGTCTGCAGTCTATTCAGTGTATTGTTGAAGTTTAACCTAGTTTGAAAGTTGGACTGTTCAAGTCATTCTTTAACTTTGGTCCTAGCTGTAAAGCACAGATTTATGATAAACCAGATTTTTTATCTCTACAGAGAAAACATCCTTGAATGTAGCCTCCCTTCCGTTTTGTTTGACCAAATGGTGTAGAGCATAATTAATAATGAGGATGGATGTGACTAGCTGGATTTAGTGTAGCTGAGCAGCAATTCAGAGGGATTTCAGTAGAAATATCAACTAATTCTAGTCAGAGACAGTGTTGATCTGTAAGATAAAATCTGTGAACAGCTTCAAATTAGGGCCTTTAGGGTGGGGTCCACAAAGGTACTTGGGTACCTACACCCCAGGTTTTGGCCTCTAAACTGTGGGTTTAGGTACCTAATTCCAGTTTTGTGTCCACTGTGACAAAGGGGCCCCGGGTGGCAGCAGTGGTTGGGAGCTCCGGGCCCCTTTGAATTGCCACCATGCACTCCTTTGCCCCCCATCGGCAGGTCTGCTAGTAAGTGTCCCCATTATAGCAGTAGAGCTAAGGCTCTGTTTTTTTAAAACATTGTCAACTATAAAACTATCTGTAATTACTTGGGGCTAGTCTACTCTAGAATTGCTATGACAATGTAGCAATGCCACTGTAGCGTTGCTAATGCAGACCCCCCTCTGCTGGCAGGAGAGAGCTCTCTTGCTGAATTACTCCACCTCCCCAACCAGTAGTAGTTGTGTTGGTCGGAGAGTTTCTCCCATCAACATAGCACTGTCCACACCAGTACATAGGCGAGCGTGACATATGTTGCTCAGGGGATGACTTTTCCACACTCTGGAGGCCATGTCTACAATAGGAGCTTATTTCAAATTTCCAACATTCAAATTCGGGGCACCTGATTTTACACATTCGATGTTCCATGTCTTCACTACAGGGAAGAATCAAATGTAGTCCAAGGCAGGTTCTGTTAATGTGGTGTGCTACCTCAGACTCCGAGCCCCTGGAAGCACTCTGGGGAGTTGTGGGAGATCTCCCGGAGGCCAATTAGTTTGAATTAGTGGCACCAGATCATCCACACTAACATTATTTTGGACTTACAGTTTTGAGAATAGCATTTTTCCTCATGAAAAGCAGGACTACAGAGTTCGAATTCTGAGGCTCCTTTTTCTGGAATAACATGCTTGGGAGTATGGATGCATTGCTTATAAAATTGACGTGTGTGTGTGGGGGGGGGTAATTTTGTCCTAGTGTAGACCAGGCCTGAGTGATTTAAGATATATATAGAAGTATTTACAAGCTCTTGGTCGAGATTAGCCTAAAGAAAGATAATACAAACATGATCCCCATGTTCACTACCATTTTAAGTCTCAGTCAATGACAAAAAGTTTCTTTTAAAGAATAAATATAGATCTTGATATTTAGAAACTGAACACTTCGGGTGAGTGCTAAATGCCTTTAACTACTACTGAAATCAATCAGAATTGAGACTATTCAGCACTTTGCAAGATCAGATCCCTAGCTAATGTCTTTGTCTCAGCTAGAAAATAGTCTTTGGATTCATTAAAAAAAAAGAACACCAAAAAGTCCAAACAAAAATGGAACATGCCTGGGATTATTATTTCCAAATCACCAGGACCTCTCCTACTACATTACTTAATCCCTCTTATATTTGATTGGCTTTGTCTTTAGTATCCCATTAAGCAGTTAGGGGGAACTGAGGAGAATCATTACTTAACACAAACAGGCCTATGTTTGCAGATTATTGTTTCTCGGATCATATTTCTCAAAACAGAATTATATCATTAATAAAAGCATCTGAAATAGATTGGGCATTTTAGATAGCAAACAGATTGTGTTTTATAAAAACCTGTAAAAACTCCCACCCTGAGATTCTGCATTTCAGAGCAAACTTACAGCTAAATGATATCCAAACTAACTCCTGAGGTATAAACAGCATTGTAACATGAAATAAACTGTATATACAAGTAATGAATCAAAAATCTCTCTTTAGTGGACACCCAAAGGACCAGTACAAATTTGTTGCCTCATTTAACTGGTCTTTTTGAACAAAATTGTACTGGAAACTTTGGGGGTATTTTAATATAGAGATTTAAGGCTGCGAGCTCCCAGTGGAGGTGATAATTAGTACAAATTTCACAGCATATAAATATTCAATTTAAAAAAATTAAAATTAAGAAAAATATAAATGGTTTTGACTGTGAAAAAGTCTAATCAGAATTCTAGTCACTAGAGGTCAGCATTGCCATAGGAATGAAATCAAATCAAATCAAATCAGGAACAATCTGATTTTACTAACTTTCTTAAACATGTAGAATCTGATACTTATTTGTAGTAAAAACCCTTTGTGCTGTTCTGGCTTGAGTTTGAAGTGAGTGGAAAAGACCCATTGCAAATCCAGTTCCACAGAGGGCCTCATTCCTTGGTGTAGAGTTGATAGCAGGTCTCCAAATCAGTCCAGGACCCATCCTCCAGGGAAGAAGGCTATTGCTATGGGAAACAAAGTGCAAGTTGGAACAGCTTCAAGGTATACAGTAATGTATACAGGGGTACAGACCAGTCCCCGCATGGTCCCAGAATTTGGAGAGTGCATGAGTGTCTTAAAATCAAAGTTGTCACCTCTCTATCTCTTGCCCACATACATGAGTGCAGAAACTGAGACTCAGACCCACATGAATTTGACATGATTTCTTACAGATGAAAATAGATATGGAAACGTACTGCTGTGAAGCATACATTTTGAGACACTATGTGGCAACTATAATACATTTTAGAGCAAAGTGATAGAGAGCACTTAAATATAGAGGAGGTACTTTTATAATGTTTGCAAATAAAAAGACATCTGGAACAATGGATAGTCTGGAGTCTAATTCTTCCCTTGATGCTCTTGCCTAGCTTTTATTGGCAGAGATAAGAGTCGCAGTGGAGAACTACTAATAAGGATAGCTTCCAATTGTTTCATTTCAGTGGTAATGTATTTCCAAGTGTTTACCATATCTGAAGGTGCTGCCTCCAAATGAAGTAAAATCTGCATAGGCTTATTAGAGCTCTTTGGAGAGCAAGATATTTTGTTCCAGTTACTGGAAGTTTCTTGAGACTTGATAATGAGGTACATAACCATTAACTTTATTAACCATTTTTGTACTGAATGTACACAGTGCCAAGCATGCACAAAGGTCTGTTCCAACACATGCTGGGCAATATACAGATGGATCCTCTAGCAGCAATCTAGAAATCTGGAGGGAACCTACCCAGAACAATACATCCCTCTTCTGCCGAGTGTAAAAACAGGCTTCTGTTCATGTGTTATAGTTGCCAAAACCCATCAGTAGCCTGTGGTCTGTTTACTGAAGCTCAAACAATTCACTGGGCATGGCACAGAGCAGCTCAGCTCAGATCGAAGTGCTGTCAGGAAAGATCTAATGGGGAGGATTTCATAATATCACCAATTTCCAGAGCTGGGTCAAGATGCAGGAACCAGTTGTGCAAGGTATTTAAGCACCTAAAAATGTAGGTAGGCACCTAGTAGGATTTTTTAAAAGCTCCTAATAGGTTAAGGTATGTCTACACTGCCACCCTAGTTCGAACTAGGGTGGCTAATGTAGGCATTCAAAGTTGCAAATGAAGCCCGGGAAATGAAGCCTAATTCGAACTACCTACTCCATGCCACATGTAGCCGCGGGCACGGAGTCCGCACTAAGGGGGATTTAAAAATGGCGGTGTCCGGCAAGATGTAAATGAAGCCTGGGATATTTAAATCCCGGGCTTCATTTGCAACTTCGAATGCCTACATTAGCCACCCTAGTTCGAACTAGGGTGGAAGTGTAGACATACCCTACGATATCTAATTCTCATGTAAAGTCTTGGCTGCGGTTGTGGCTTAAGTCAGGGACAGGCAAAATAAAGCACCCAATAAGACACAGCCCAGTTGGAGCCTCAGGCAGGCTTCCTGCCTACCTCACCACAGCATGCTTCTCAGAGTGGATGGCTGCGGGGGCCATGTGCCTCTCTGGGTAAGTCTCTCTGGGTATGTCTACACTACCCCGCTAGTTCGAACTAGCGGGGTAATGTATGCATACCGAACTTGCTAATGAAGCCCGGGATTTGAATTTCCCGGGCTTCATTAGCATAAAGCTGGCGCCGCCATTTTTAAAAGTCAAGAGCAATGTTTTAGAATAACTGCTTACAAAGTTAGGTCAGCATAAGCTGCCTCCTGTCACAGTGTAGACCAAGCCACACCATTGTCCACCAAAAACACACTCAGCAAAACGAATACATTATCTAGCAGCCTTCAATTATTACAGCACTTAACGACCAGTGAAGAAAACTCGCTATTCCCTATCTGTAACATGGAGATGATACACAAAGAAGCTGCCCAAGATCAAACAATAAGGCCCCAATCTTACGACATATTGGGGGGCAGAGATTTCAATGTGGGGCTCATGAGTCTGGTGCACAATCGATTGCATGATCAGGGCCAAAAACAGTGCAAGTGCCAAAAATAAGATGGATCTGTTGGCTCCTAAGTCTCTGTGCTTTCCAGTGCATCATATTGCTACTTTAGGAGAATTTGATAAGATTATTACTCAATTAAATACAAGTTTAAAGCCTGTGTCTTTTGGGGAGGTGAGCATTGTCTTGTTTTAAGGATAGATAAATTATGAACTATGGTAATCTTATTCAAAAATGCTGTTATTTGCTACATGTTACTAGCATATCTGCACGCTGCTAGCAAGTAGGGAATGCTGAGAACCAGCTGTCCTGGGGGGTCCCTTTAAGCACAAGCCTCAGATAGCCTCAGGCAGCAGCCACACAAAGTAACTCCTGACCTGATGCCCTGCTGGAACCAGTTTCAGCTGCCCTTAAATGCGATTCAGTATCTAATCAGTGTGGATGCACTATTTCAAAATAACAAAATGCTATTTTGAAATGCATTTTTT